AAGAAAGATATCATTGTATTGGTGTTTGTAACTATCGGGGAACTTGTCACAAAACTTAACTTCTGCTCAATTCACCTTCAGAGTGCATGACGAGGTATAGATTCCCATCTGTTCCCACAAATCGGTGGTATTTGTAAAGTGTTATCAATAATATGAATATTTTCAATATATCAGAATTAATTTCATCACTTTTCTCTCCAACTCTATAACAACAATCGGAACAGAGGGTAACATTTAATCAGCTAATTTATATCAATTTCTCTGGGAAAAGTTGGATTAATTTTCGAAGTGTTTTTCGAAAACGTTAAATTACATTTTTCGCGAATCACTGCTTCGAAATTTAAAACTTCATAATTTGTTTGTCAAAGCTCAGGTAAATGGAAGCTTAAGTAAATGATAACAATCCCTGATTATCTTGTTGGTGATTTTCAAAACATACAACTGTTGCACAAAGGGTACAAGAAAAGATGCTAGCTTCGTTTGATTTAAAGTATATTCAACCATGACAGGTTCCAAGCACTACAAAAATTTTGATTCCTTACTTTGTCATATTTAAGAAGTTCGACTTAATATTATAATTAATTTGGTCACAATTTGAACTTTGTTATTACTAGTGACCGTTATCAGGTCACTATTCTCGTAACAATGGAATTGCCACGCCAGTTCAATTCTATCATCTTGCGGGAGAAGATGTATGCGATCTTAACCACAAGAAATGTGGGCCATTTTCTCAAAATGGAGAATGACAAAGAAAGGGATGGAAGGTAGAGAAAGAAACGGTGAATCTACTCAACAATATTCCTTTGTAAATGCTCTGGCGCTCTTTGCAACTGCTACTATCAGCTGTCCAACATAGTAGAATAAGTTGTCACCAACATGTCACATCATATTTTTTATTACTCTATCGTCTTTAGCTATTGTTTGATAATGCCTGGATTGAGTCTATTGTTGCAGACAGAAATGGCTAAATTGTGCCCAAAGGAGAAAACTTTTTGCTTAACAAAAGCTTCACAGGTATTATTCCACTATAATATATACATAAATTGAAAATTTATTAAATTGAATTGATAGCACTCATTCCATATCACACTTATTATCTTTCTAATCAACGCACAGACTGTTTTGCAAGACTTGTTTTCTCAACTGTGTTCAGTAGAAGACTAAAAAAGGCAAAGATTTCTGTTTCTCAATGAGTTAATTAATGGAAACTTTGGTTAAAAGATTTCTTTTACTGGTCTCTAACATCTTAGTATGTAAGAAGTGTGGACTTGAAACTTGTTCAAATGTCGCTATGATTTCATTGTATTAATTAAAACGCCATCAACAACTGATCCATGATTGTAAATTGTCTCTGTTGCGACATTAAAGGGTCAGTGCTTCGGTAAGAGCGTGAAAGCCGAAACTTTGAAACGAACATGTCCATGTGCTTGTGACATCGCGCATTTCGATCGGATCCAGTCATGTTGCAAAACCGTCGGTCGACAAGAAATGAAATTTTGCTTGCCGCTATGTAGATATAATACTACTTTAGATGAGGTAAGTCTTTTTTTTTTGTATTTTCCCGAGCTATTGATTTAACAATGGTCCAATAATTGAAAGACGCTTCTTGTTGTGTTCATTGCTAATCATATTAGCCACAGCTAGTACAGGCCGTTTGTTCTTTTCCTTTCTTTTTAACAAGGTCACGAATTACCAACCTTAGAATTCTGTGACATACTTCGAAAGTATAAAGAATTCATTAATCGTTTTTGTATTCGTAGCAATTAATCGGTATAAAGATCTCCTCAGTGAAAACTGCACTCTCTGCGGTCTCCCAATTAAGCATAATTAATTATGTGAAATAATATTTCGATCCATAAGAATACGAAAGAAATCATGGATGTAATGGAAAGTGACTGCCTATAATAATGTTTGCAGAAATTTTTAGCTCAGTACGAGTTTGGGCTATAAATGCGTCTCGCAATTAACTACATGGGCTTACTGCGCTGCTGATATCAGGGACAATACGGCATGTTGCAAGCAAGAAGGTTTTATCTTTCTTGGTATTTATTTTATGAATCCTGGAATACAGGCAATTGTTGAAGTGATAGATCGATTTATCTGCCGTAAAACACATATTCAGTCATCAGTGATTCATCTGTTGAACAATTATCACATTACTTCTAAAAATTCCTTTCTTCCTTTTTTTTTTTTTTATGCATAGAATTTTCAACGGAATAGTGTAACTCGGTTTCTAAACTTCAAAGTTAACCAGTAATAAGATTTCAGAGCAAGATAGTTAACCAGTCAACCGATTGTAGACTGAAAGATTTTGAATCGAGATAACAAACTATTCAAATTTTAAATCAAATAATCTTACTGAACTATTTGCTCACGTCAATTATATGTGGACCACTTCTTGCAGTCTTGCTCAAACGTTGGAATTGTGGTCATGAAATGTAATTCCTAAAGAAATTGTCAGTATTCCAATATTTCAATGCGTGGTTAATTTAGTACAATTATTGAAGGCATCGCCTCAGAGTGTTTGAGCTTTTGCAAGGGTGATGTGCCAACATGCGATTTACAAAGCCTTTTCACTTATCAACCTTGCCTGAGATATATCGAAACGATCACTCATTGTCACGTTAGCTCTTTCAAAAAATTTTAAACTCTTAATTATATTTTTTAGTGGCAGTATTGTCTTTTAAAAAGATATTTCACAGTGATTTCGCAGTGATCTTTTGCATTTCGTTGCACTGCTAATTATTTCTAACGTAACCTTCATATTTTTTTTTTCTTGTTTTTTTTTTGCATTTCAGATGGACAATTTGTTGCCAGTTCCTCGATGGGACCCAGATTGGACGGCTCGCTGTGATTGGGATGAAAGTGATTGAAAAGATCCTTAGGAAGAAATTTCTTTAATGGCGTTGTTGCCAAATATTGTTACTTTAATTATTTTAAAACTAATCCTTGTTCTAGAGAAATTAGGCCTTCAAAAGAATGTAGATGGAGAGGCTGATTGAATGATAATATAACTTTTCCAATGCTTGCGAGGAAATTTTAGCAAGTCGGAAGCGCTTATAATCTTGTCTAAAAATTTCCAATTAATTACACCATGCAATTCAGTTAATTCAACGTTTAGATTCATTTTTGATAAAATAACACTAATAAAGCATTGAACTAAATTTAATCTAAAGCAATCCTACCGCAGTCATAAGTTAGAAGAGATCGCTGAAATAAGCAGTCTCTTTCGGCATGTTAAATTTATTCGTGAAAGGAAATCTTTTCTTTTACCTAATTAATTTCACCATGTAATTCAGGCACTTCGACGAAGATTAGATTCACTTTACAAAAGCAAAATTAAAAAGTCTTCACGGCTCAAGAATTTACGACGAATACGTGTTGAATATCATAATGCACTAATGCACTTGATATTTAGGCGACAACGCAAAATAATCCATTGACAAAAGAATAACGATTTGGCAAGCAAAAAACAAAGCATATTCTGGGCAGTAAACTTCATCCACTGCTGCAAAAAACTCATTCCTTCCCTTAAATATTATCTTTTATTTGATAAATTTGATTCTGTACTGAATTTTTTTTTTAAGCAAAGCAATCAGCCGAGCTATCCTTTTGCACTTCGCATTCTTCCTTCCTTGAATTGATATGATCTTCTGTTCTCTTTCTTGTTATTTAAAATTCAAAATAAAAAATAATTGGGAAATTAAACTTGCCTACTGTCCCACTCTTTTGCAATCTACCTCGACGTTTTATCTAATTAAAACTTTTCTCTGTATAGGTTAACTCCTAACTTTACCCTGAACTGAAGGGTACAAAATACATTCAAAATTAAAAAATTAGTGGTTGTAAGCAATCGTAAGGATTTATGATGTCTTAAAAATTTAAGATTCGAAAGAGATTTCATTGCAAAAGAATCGTTTTGTGCAGTTCAGAGGAATAAATGAAGAAAAATGATTCTTTAAGATATTATTTCAAATTTCTATTTTCATATTCCAATGAAGCAAACATTATGTAAATTGTTGCAGAGAATAAATGACACTCACATTCTTATTCAAAAGTTTTCGGCAAATTCTGATCGTAAAGCAACTTAGAAAAGGAATTCAGAGAAGAAAGCGCAATTTTGATAACTCGAATTTAAAAACCGTTATTCAGTAAAACCGTTCCCACAACTCTAACATAAAATTAGTTCCTATTGTTGCGCAATTCAACGGTTAGAATGAGACTGGTATTTGGAATTGTGATCTAAAATTGTTCCATCCAATACATCTTCACAAAGAGATAACTTCGCAAGGAAGTTATAATAAAAAAAGAATCCGAAATTTTCTAATGCTTCGAATTTTGATAAGCTTCAGCATATTAGTAGCGATCAATTTCCGTTGTAGAAAACTCTCATATTTCTAATCACTTGTTTTGAGATCAAACTTAGTGTTCAGCTTCTTTATCATATTTACCAGCTTCTTCAGAGTTGTGGCAATTTTCATCGGAAATATGTATTACAAATGACGATCCCCAGCTTTGGGTTCAAATCGTTTTCGAAATAGAAAACAGCCTACAGAGTTCTCCTGTTAATTCAGGCTAATTTCAGAAAAGAAAACCAAATCTCATATATTTTTTCTGAATTTATGTATAACTCAAATTCGACAAACGAGTGCTCCCACAAACTCGAAGCATCTTTTTTTCTATGGCGAACTTCAGCTCGAAAGCGAAAATACACGATTGGAAATCCTCAACGTCTGAATTCAAAAATCTTGATTCCTACTGCTTATATTTTCACAATCTAAGCTTCTGGAACTCCTAGTCACATTTTTTTTTTTTTGCTTTTGATGAGCTGCATTGGTGAAATAGCAGGATGGCTTTTTATTTATTACGCAGCTCTGCGCTGTAATCAAAATATATTGTTATTGTTCTGAATTATTTTTTCGGGTTATTATAATTTGTAGTTCTACAAGGTCGGAGAGATCTTCCACGGTATGAGCCAAAGTGAATGATGCAACAAAAAAAAGGTTATAAAAATAAATTTAAGAACTGTAACATCAAAATAAAACACATCATAATACGAGACCAACGATCAAAATGAGGCATATGAACTTAAGGTATAATGAAATTAAGAGAAACAAGAGAGAGAGCAGCCGCTGTACTTCTCATGTAAATTGTATTTATAGATAATGACACTGTACAACTTACTCCCCCGCTAACAAAGCCATACAAAGTGAGGATGAACAGATACTGCAAATGATTTCAAGAAAGTCGGAAAGGTTTGAAAAACAAATAAAAAGAAATATTTCAAAGTTCAGAAGTCTGAAGAAACTTTTTTCAAGACAACGAAGAGAAAATACAAAACAAAGAAGTAGAAAAACAGAACAATAACGACTGGAAACAAATCTCCGTTTTACCAATGTTATTAGATTTCGGATTAAGAATCAACTGCAGCATTTTCAACATCGCCACTAGCTTTAGTCTTTTTTGGTTTCCGTTGTGCTTCGTCCTCAGCTGATCTTTTTAATTTTTTACGTACCAAATTGCTAACATCGTCAATAGGCATTCCTCCTACCGATGATTTCAGTGAGATGTCCCCTTCATCACCTGCGAAAATACTTTCCTAAAACGTATTGTAAATTAGATCATATTTGGCCAAAATATAAGCACCTGCAAAAGTGAAAGAATTTGTTTGAAAGAGAAAGAAAAGAAAAATATGAAAGTAAGAAAATCCCTTTTTACTGATGAAGAAAAATGAAAAGACGATGAAAAGAGAATGGATAGAAGTGAAAAAAACTGGTTAAATATTCAAGTAAAATTAGATCTATTTTACTTGAATATTTAACCAGTTCAAATGAACAAAGTAATTTGCTTTTTCAAACAGATCGTTAAATAATAAACAAAAAGTAAAGCATTTGTACATGCAGCTAAGTTCAATGATAGTTTTAATCCAGCACAACTTCACAACAAAACGTATCTTTAAAATGGCCCCCAAGCCAACAAGGATTTTCTTATTTATTCGGTTAAAAACTAAGAGTTCTGCTGAGTGGTCTTGAATGGGACTCACTTTTGTTAAACTCCTCTCACTTTCCAAAGAATCGTCGATTTTTGTTTGAATTTCGGGCAACAGAGGTTTGAGTTCATAAACTTCCTTTTTAATTTTCTCTGCTTCTCCCTGACTTGCATTCGCTAGTTGTGATTCGAGTTCCGCTGGAATATGTAGAAAATACATTTACTTCCACGGTTTAGATAAAGTCTATATCGGATACAAAATCTCTCCGTAAAAAGCAACTTCTATTTCAATGTATAATTTCTGCATTGTAATGTGATCAATTTAAACAGACGAGAAAGTAAAAAAAGTGAATAAAAAATGCTTCAGGCGAAACTCAACTCACTCAGTCTCGCTTCCAAAATTTCTTTTGACTTTCCAAAAACTTTAGCTGCATTTCCAAAATCTTTGGCAAGGTTGTGAGTTCGTCCTTTTACAAAATAAGCCTGCGCAACACGCCGATCGATTTCACCGAAAATGCTTTTCGTAAGTAAGATACATGCGTCAATATCATCAACTGCCTGTTTGTAATTCTCTGCATCAGTTGAGCAATCAGCGAGATCCAGAAGAACTTCCACTTTCTTTTCCTTCCAACCCTCTTCTTCCAGATGCCTAAAGATTATGAATATTCAATTCAGACTCTAAAATTTAAGTTACAAAATTGAAACAAGGTGACTATGAATTCTAAACTACTTCAAAACCATTCACACATTATGAGTGATTCTATCCAATGACTTTCTCCAAGATATCGAATCAAATGTAAGTTGAAAGAACTCCCTCCCATGTCCACATTTTACACAAACTAACAGATCTAGGCTCGGTAATATAGCAATACGGACGCTGCCTGAATCATTTAAAAGGAAACTTCAAAATCTGAAACGAGCTTACAACAGTGCAATTATATTTAGAATACGAAAATTAAAATGACTTTGAATTTTAACCTGTGTTAAAATAAAACACTCACTTATCACAAATGGTTCGCGCAACTTCTAAATTCTCCCACGCTAACTGCAGATATTCAACATCTTCAGCATTACTGGATTCATCTTTGCTGTTGTTCTCTTCCGAAATCCCATCCTTACCACCTTCATCTAGTTTATCGTCCTCTTTTTCGTCTTCAACTCCATCATTTCCTTCCTTCTTTTCGTCCTCCATATTTTCATCTCTTTCTCCTTCAGTATTGCTTCTTTTTTCTTTATGACCCATCGTTTCATCTTCATCTTCCTTATCTACAGTGCTTCTATTAATAGCAATGGACCAACAGTATAATTCAAATACTTTTTTTAAAGGAAAAATTATTAGTAAAATAACCTTTACCAGTTTTGACTACATAGTCTCCCTTGGTCTGCTCTTTCTCCGTGCTACTTCTATCCCCTTCCATAGTCACATCTGCTTCATTCTTGACAGCATCAACATCAGCCCTCTTTTCTTCACTTTCCTTAAAAATTTAATTCATACCTTCCTTAAAAAAATCATTTTAAATTAAAATAACAAAATAGTTGCTTCACCAAAATTCATATTTTGGTTAAACACTAAGATCAATCACAAAGGATTTCAAAGGATTAGTTACGAAATGATCGATGTTTCAAAAGGTCACAATTTTCTGGCATATTTTGTATACGCAAATTCCAATTATTCAAAAGATGTTTCACACGTAGCAAACTAGGAGATTTTCAAAAACCGAATTAATGAGGAAACAGTTTAAGTTCTATTAGACTTCCTTCTTTTTTGTACAGCAGGTATGTCTGGTTTATAATCGTCTTCTTCGTCTTTAACTTCGTAAACAATTGCACACCCATAAAAACTTGCCTCTTTATTGTTCTCCAGCATACCGGAAGAATCAACCCGACAGCAGGCAATCTTTTCCTCCAGGGCTTCGGCATTCTCTTCCCAAGCATTTTCAACCCTCTCTACAGTTTCAGCCCTTTCTTCTTCTAAACAAAGAATCAGTTTCAGTTCCCATTGAACCAAAAAAAAAAGAAAAAACTGAAAAGAAATCAAAAGTGGAAATTTTTAAAGAGAAAAAAAAATGAAAAATGACCAGTAAGTGATTGCACTTCCTCGATATCATCATCCTTATCGTTGGTCCGCTTCTTGCATACTTCTTCACCGGTAGCTGTAATACCTTGCAGAGCATTTGAAAAGACACCATCCTCCAGTCTGGCCAATTCAAGCAAAGTCTTGCCATAATACAGATGAGGTTCAAATGTTGGGATAGTAAAATATCCATAAATATTGACACTGAAACTCTGAAGGGATACTGCCTCCTATTTTATCATATATCCCACAGTCCGTCATTTGATGGTAGTTATTAGAAATGATCTCAAATAGGAAAAAAATTGAATTAAATCTAGATAGTACGATCCTAAATCAATTCAATACAATTCATTTCTGCTTCGGTCCGAGCATATTTCAATCTTTCATGTGAACTTTGAATAAAGCCTACGAAAGCTCAGCAGCTTCGCTCAGTTTTGTTTCAGCTTCTTTAAATCTCCCCGATATATATGCTTGTTTTCCTTCCGCCAAAAGCATTTGGAATTTCAGAACACCCCTGAAATTGGATGGTTGCATCATATTTCAGCCATCGAACAACTTGAAAAAAATCTAATATAACAATCGTTGTTGCCAAAATATACCACGAAGTATTTTAACCAAAATACAAAAAAACAAGAAAAGAAAACGCTTCAGAGTTAAACTTTCCAAATTTCACTTAACCCTTAAAAAGGATTTGAAGTACAATTTAAGCAATGGAAAGGTAAACTTTTCGGTAGAATGATTAACCTACCCCTCGTCCACCTTTTTATCGACAAATTCATCGTCCCTCGAAGTGGGTGTCATCGTTCGTGTTTCCTGAAGATATAGACCCATAAATAACACGCTTAGTTGTACGTGCTTCACGTTCGCCTAACACCTAGCACATACCAACCTCTACCCTCCCTCTCTCCGTGCGGTTATATTCGCGCTCTAAGTCTATTTCACAGCCTCACGGCCACTGTTATTTATCGATTCTTGTTCCGGAAGGTTTGAGAGTCAGGTAGCCAAAAGCGAAGACTCCTTTGGATCAGTGGATATGGCATGAGAAAGACAATAGTGAGGGAAGAGTCTGCTTGGACACTGCCTTTTGATTCCTGGTGTTCCAGAAACTGTAGTACTTCCACCTTATTAAGGCGGATTTTTAAGAACATATAGTAGTAAAAGTTTGGTGTCGTTTCCACTGCAAGTCTATCTTCGGGTAGTACTCTTGACATAAATAAGATCTTTTGGGTAGTTATCTCTGCTGTAGCCTCTTTTTGAGCTCTGCACTTACTTGATTTCAGAATGATTCACATTATCAGTCTTCTAAGATTAAAGAGAACCAAAAAAGGAAAAAAACAGCCAAATAAGCAACATATAAAAGTTCTGGGAAATATTTAATCCTTACAAGTGTTAACAATGTCAATAATCATCCGGTTATCACTATTATATTATAGTTCAAATGATATTAGTCTACTTTTATTTCATTTTCGATACGTTTTGTTCTGATCACGAGATTGAGACATTCTGATCAATAAATAAAATTGTGTTATTTTGATAACGTTTATTATCATATTTTTGTTATCCGTCTTCAGATTTACGATTCTAATGACAACTTATTAGTATTTGATCTTTTTATGGTTTTAGGATATTACAGGGAGGCTTCCATTTGATAAATTATAAGGCACTTTATGGTAGTTCAGTGTATTTATATTTGTACTGCACTAATTTCTGGCAATTTAGATTCTGATTTTAATAAATCAAAATATTTCTCTTTTTGTTAATAAGGATGTTTAAATTTTCAATTAAACGTGTTTAAAGTGGAAGTATCATACACGATATCATCAAATCGTGTATCATACACGATATCATTCAAAGTGATCATACACGATATCATCGATGACTGTAAAAGGTAGAGTGATTTTGAATTTGAAAAGGAAGCCAAATGAAAAGGGTGGTATATCTGACATATCATTTGTTTCGAATGATTTTCCTGCAAAATGGCAACAAAATCATCCAAAATGTTTTATCTTTAAATGGGAAAATAGTTTCCACTCTTGTCGATGTCCTTCGATGAGGAATGCTCGGATTTATTCTGAAACTTAGCAAATGAATAAAGAAGTTCAAAAACTTCTAAGTAATAAAAATTTCAATGGTTAACTTTAATTCTTTAAAACTTGATGCCTTAAATGCGCATCTTCTTGAGTGGAGTAACCTTAAACTAATTTTACGTAATGATTCTCAGCTCCTGGCATTGCAAAATGGAAATATTTATTCCGTGTTCCCGCTTGAATTCCCAAACATACTTTTTTTTTCGAAAATGTCATTTATCATTTGTATTTGTGTGGCAATAAACTCACTTGTACTTCCGCTGATTCAAATTTGTCGTCTACAAATCTCCCTATCATACACGATATCATCGATGGCTGTAAAAGGTTTTTTTAAAAAAAATGTTTTCTAGTTAAAATCCAAAAGTATCAAATGAAGTTGGGAAAGATTCCGGCTATTTCATGCAATAGATTTTCCGTGCTTGGGAACTGATTATTGGGAAATTTTCATAGTATTTGTTCAGTTTTTAATATGACTTTTTTTGATTTAAGAATTCAAGCCTTCCAGTCTTGGTTGATGGCCCGGCGTTATACTAATATTCATTCCACAAAATGCATACACTTCTTTTTGCTCGTCTGCTACTTGCCTGAAAATCATCAGATGTAAACTGAAATGAAACCTAAATACGCTTCATTGTTTTCTCATCCATATTAAATTTCGAAATCGGTTTAAAAATTGCTTGTGTAGCTAGAACTTTCTCACATCTGTCTCATTTCTCGATGAGCTGACAAACTTGTTATGAATGAAGTGACAACTTGTGGATGAGATCGTTTTCACCTAAACTGAACTAACACTTATGTATTTCCTAAGAAGTAAATCTTAATCTGCTGTAGAGCAAAACAGTGCGGATACTATTGAGTGTCCTTAATTGGTGCTGCCGAAAATGGGATAATAACATTAGTAATAGCAGCAGACTTAAAAGCCCTCTAGAAACTGAAATTGAAATGAAAGTTTCAATTCATTGCAAGATTGTGGCTTCATGTTAATACATACAGGTAGGGTTTGGCCTGAAGAAGGTTCTGCAGGACTTCTTCGACTTTTTGGTTCTGGAATCTTTTTCCTATTTTCAGTGCTAAGCGGTGGTGGCCGGCTTCCTGGGTTCCGGATTTGTACATAAGTTGCAGATGACTGGAAATTCAAGAATTGACAAAATAGAAGGAACTACTTTATGAGCTCAATTCATGTCCCGTTGAAGCTGGCATAGATTTTAAAATTGTAATGGATATGCAATGCTTGAAAGTAGACCCTTGAAAGATTTTTAAAATTGTTTGCATCCAGGAGTTCCATTCCCTAGTTGTTTTATTTTAATGACTAGCTCAAGTTTAGCTCAATTTAGCTCAATTTAGCTCAATTTTTAGCTCAAGTTTGAAATTTTAGTAGTTACAGTGCATGTCTACTATAATTTTAAAATCTTAGACGGATTCTTCATTCAAATTTTCTGCTAGTGGAAGTTGGAATTTGAAAATTAGAAAGTATAAGCTTTACTGCACCATACTTCTATTAGTGGTTTCTGTGAATTTTGTTTCTGTGAGCCCTTGTTATCCAGTACATCACGTGTTGTAATTTTCCACCTGCATTTTTAAATCTTCAAACCCAGTCTTACAATGACCAAAATTTTCAAGAAAGGAAAATCGCTGTCAATTTCTATGTTAAAAAGTGTTTTTACCCTCCGTTTAGACTGATCATTTTGATGCATCTCTCTATTCCAAGTCGTATCGTATGACCTCACCCACGCCCCTGGAAATCCCTCCCTCCCTCCCCCCCCCCCCCCGCCTGGGAATAAGATCATATAGTACGACTTTTTTCCGATGTTTATCATCCATTGTCAGCTTTATGGAAGTTTATTTCGACATAATCCCAGGTAGTTTGGGATAATGTTTACTGTTGTTTCTGAGTTTTATTTCGTACCTTCTGCGTTCATTTGGAAAAATGGATGATATTTCAGGTTTTCCTTTGAATGAGTATTTGACGACAATCTCAACCTCAGCATTCAATTCCGTTGCAAGGATTTCTGCTTCATTCCGAAACCTTTCAAAAATTCGTTGCATTTGGTTATTAATTACACGCAGTCCTTTGATTGTAGCAATGAGCATTAAATCAAATATACTTACTTTTTATTCCTATCTCCAGCACCAACAATTTGCATAATTTTTATGCACTTTCAGTTTAGAATTCGATGCTTTAGGAAAATTCGATAAAGTTGTTAAAATGAATTTCAGAAGTTATTAGGCGACAAAGTTCGTCCAAAAAGTTTTGGCACTGCAAAAAATATATGCGAAATAAAAAGGGGAAAATTTTAACATCACGAAAGCTTAAAGGATATGTTTAGACGGGAAATAAAATGATGAGTGGACAAAAATAATACGCAATTAGAGCGGAAAGATGACGACATATCGGAAATCGGAAAAATGCTAAGTAATGATCATTGATGAAAACAATAATAATTATAACCTGATGAAAAAAATTCGAAAGCTACAAAGAACGCAAAAAACAATTATTCATATACTTACTAAAGTTGCCCGCATATTGGTGAATAGAAATACTGCAAAATCCAAGCAATAAAGTTCTCAAATCTCAACAACTATTCAATTTTCTGGGTGAACGTGTTGGTTGCGCGATACGTCCACCCCAATAAAGCCGGAAATTGCCTTTCCGCCATTTGATGTTTGGGTTAACCAGCGCACGACACCAAGTTGGGAAGGATAGTACTTCACGATACAGCCAAACAAACAAGAACTGTGCAAAAGAAAATGGCAGCGGTCCATTCTAAAACATCAGAGCATAGTTTAGTACAGATTGAGGGAGTGAAGCAAGATATATGTAATGTCATGATTCAAGAATGTAAGGAAATCTGTAAAACGGACCTCAATAAGGTGGATCAAAGTGTAGTCGCAGGAAATCCAATAAATAAGATGGAAAATAAAATAATAAAAGATGTAAGTTGGTGAGGACGGGAGTAGAATCGAAACAGCACAACATCCAAATATGCCGGACAGAAAACAGTCTTGCAAAGGTTCCAATATTATCGTATGAGGCAGCATTGCTATACGTAATTTTATCCACCTGGAAATAAATCACTACAGAAACGGCTTTAAATGCTACCAGATAATTGTAACTAAGGAGTTCATTCACTTCGAAAATCTAAAAATGATCAGTAGGCATTTCGCGGCTTATTAAAGTTGCGAATGATATAAGAGATTAAGACTACAAAGATGCGAAGTTCAGAATCATTTATATTATAATTTAGACAGGCCTGATCAAAAAAACCTAACACGAACCTGCATATACGTTCATGAAAAGTGTTTGGATCGGGTCTTGCAGTGTTTTGCATGGCAGGTAGACTAGAAATGGCAATTTTCCATCCTCTTAAAGATTACAAATTCTTAATGCCCCAATTAAGAATTACATGAAAGTTAATATTTCATGTTTTGGAATTAAATTTATCAGTAAACTGAAGTTGCTAGACACAATGCATTACTGTGGTTTATCCCTCTAGCAAAGGTTACCAAATCAAATATTTTATAAATAAACATGACGCGGCCATTTGCCCCATCTATCGTTATATCGATAGTAATGATAATGTGATTCAACTCCCAAAATCAAAATTAAGAAATACGCGCCTTTTCGTAAATGCAACACCGAAGAAGTAATCCTCTGCAAGATAATCACTGAAGTTTTCCATACCACCAGCATCCTCCAGAGCGCATTTCCTCATTAGTGACGACATTCCCGTAGAACAAATAAAACGCAAACAATTACCAGCTAAATAGATACGTGCATGTCCCGTACCGAAATATACCTGAAATGTTTGAGAAATAATTATCATACAATCTAAATTCATAGTTTACTTTTCCTTGTTCAAAAGAAGAATACAGTTTGTGATGCACGTTTAAGGAACAGTGCAAGAGGTTGTAAGCCAAACAATGGCAGGAATTCAACTTTACCTGCTCAAGGTTAGCTCCAAAACCAGATCTATCAGCACAAAAAGGCATCTGTGTAACTAGTGCTACATCATTTGTCATAGCGTTCACCATATCCATCAGAGCATCCTCACGCACTAGAAAGAAAATAATGCAACTCGTTCCTCAATTTAATTTTTTATGTAATCACAAATTTCTAATTTATTTCGATATTTAAAATAATAAAAACTTAACAAAAAAACTTACTATAAATTCCACTGTCGCTGACCAAAATTAATGGATATTTCGAAGCACGATATGCAGGTACCATATTGTCAATCTTCGGATTCAACCCAACATTGCCACCGCCTAAGAAAAAACCAAAATCCAAAATTTTTTAAATATGATTTAAAAAATTGACGTGAATATAATCAAGAAAGATTAAGTGTTAAGCTAGAAAAAAAGTTAGTACTGGAAAAATTTTTTTTTCGTTGAGTAATTACGAAATATATAACATACCACAGAAACTTTTAAATAAAAATGAAATGAACTTAACACAAAAGAGGCGTGCATCAATATATGGATATTTCATCATTAGAGCCTCAACAACTTTTTGAGAAGGATCACTCGCATCGTGCAAACAGAATAGTAATTCATACTGAAAACAAAATGAGTTCCATGACTTTTACTTATCCTTTCTCTCGGAATGTAACACAGTTTTAAAAATCTATATCTTGAGAAGCTCAAAATTCAAAGTCTGCAGGAATAACTAACAGTCTAATTGCATGCGAAAATACAGAAATTATTTACGTCTAGATTACACAATGAAATAACATTATGGAACTGGAATTCTTGATCACAGAAACTACGACATTTATCCTATTTAAATATTCTATGTTTATGACCCAAACATAAACTTGATACCATTTAGAGGAACAACTTACACAGTGATATTTTAACTTGAAAAAACTTTCGAGATTAAAAAATAAATTTTCATCAGTGCCAACTAACGGCTTGATAATAGACACTCCAGCTGTATCACTCCTCATGGTAATCGGTCGATGCAAACGATACTTTCTACAATGGAACAAAAACAGATATTCAAAAAGAAATTTCTCCTCAAAGCATTCTTCATTTTCATTTATAAAAAAATCATTTACACAATTGATTGAAAAATGTTTGTGAAGATATGAAAGCATTTTGATTTATTTTAAAAACATAATCGCGTTCAGGCAGAAGATTTGGAAATGGAAATAATATAAAAAGCAAGTAAGAAATATACGCATATGATATTGCGATGATATGAACGATGTACAAGCCACAGAGAAACAGGGATATGCTGATAGCAAATGGGAATGCACAGCTTGAGATGAAACTGACGAATGTAAGTGTTATCTGCATTTGAGGCCATCTGAAATACAATCAAAATGCATTCGTTTGTTTTTATCAATTACACAGACAAAAACTGATATAAGAAACTAATGCGTGACAAAATGCATAGGGATTAGTTCATCCAGTTTTAAATATGCTAATTTAAATGAACGGAAAGCAGTTCTTTGCGCTCACAAAATAAATTACCATTATTGGATGTCCGCTCATTTACAAAGCAAATGATCCAGATAAGGAAAAATTTTGGACAAATATACTGACTCCTGAAGTCTTACTCTCAATAAGTATTCCACCACGGAAGACTAATAAAGGGTCAAGAAAAAATAAGCAACTATAGGTCAAGTCGAACCGACAGTAAACGAGGCGAAGAGTAAACGAGGAGTAAACGAGACGAAACGGATTACCACCAAATACCATTATGCACCATAGTTCCCAATAAATACCTTCATAAAGCTTCAGTTCAATTTTTCTTTCTCTTGCAATTACAAGTTCTCTGTAATGTCACCAGCAAACTAATTAAATTTTTAATGATCACAATCGATAACCTTCTGCTTTACGTGAAAGCGATTCATCCGCATCACAACACGGATGAGAACATTTGTCCAATGTCACATAAAGTAACTCTAATCGTTTTTAACTAACACATAACTAACACAATGCGACTGGATGACTTCATCTTCAGGTTTAACGGCACGGATGGAAGGAAGAGATAATAGTGAAAAAATGTCAGTATTCAATGTTTTCGGCACAAACCAAAATAAGCTTAGAAGGCATAAACAATATCAATGATCTTTTATTGAATAATTGGCATTGAGGTGCACATATGCAAAATATGCAATAGGCAACGCAACTCTCGCTGTATAAAAGTATATAACTTCGCAAGGTACACAAACATACAAATAACAGCAGTTCGAATATCATGAATAGAATAAAAAGATAGAGGCATGTATCAGTGCAATCCACGGCTCCATATTAGTCGACAAAAATTTTTTAAAAAATACAAGCAGTCAATTTGTAAACAGTGGATAAAACTTATTCTTTACCATAAAATATAAATTAAAATGTAAAAGATGATAAAAAGTGAAAAACCGTGAAAACCAAAGCGTGACCACATATGCAAAATATATAGTTCAAGAGAAAAACCACAAATGCTATCATTCATTTTGAAAAAACTTCATTCCTGGCAACTTTATCATTTCCAAAACTGCAAAAGCATACGAAAGGAACTTCGAGAAAGCAACCAGAATGAATCCATCCTAATAATGATCTAATTCTATCAATTTCAACCATACCGTCGACACGCCTAACATAGAAAATGACAAATGAAACTAAATATTTCGTTTGTTGAAAGGATAATGCGCGACTTTACTTATAATTTACGAAAAATTTCAAATTTTCGAAGGTTCCTAAAAATAATGGATAGTAAACTTCAGTTATGCAGAACAATAACAGTAAAACAAAATATGTCTATATACGATTAAATGCAGGACATTAAGAAAAAAAGGTGATAGGGACAACTCTCGTCCACAAATATCATTATTATTTCTGAACTCGTTCTGTCGACTGCCGGTTTTACTGTAATTTTCAAAAATTTTTCCTCTTATTGCAATTTTCCTCACAGCCTTTCTTAATTCTTTAAATGTAAGAATAAACTATGTTCTCAAACCACAGTTTTCTTCACATCCACAAAGGAAATAACATGAAAACCTGCAACACTAGAA